CTCCGCGCCGGGCACCCGCCGCGCGTTCTCGCTGCGGCCCCGAGCACCCGGGCCCCTGGGTGCCCGCCCCTCCGGCCCGGCGGGCCTGGCACCACTCACCCTCCTTAGCTTTCTTTCTTCGGGCCAGAGTCCCTCCGAGTTTCCCCAAGAAAGAGTCATCTTTCTTCCTGGACGGGGGCGACTTAGGAGTTGGGGACTTGGGGGCCGAGGGCGACTTCTGCGGGGAGGTGGCCATGGCAGCGGAGCGGGCAGCCGCGGGGCCGGTCGGGACGCGGAGCTGGCGCTGGGCGGACGCGGCGGCGGCGGGACTGAGGCTGCGGCTTTCCAAACGGAAGCGGAATTATTCCAAGCATTTGAGGCAGCTCACGCTCGCCTTTCCCTTCCCTCTCTCCCTCCCTCGCGCCGCCCTCCGCCCTGGAAGGAGCTTTGCGCTCTCGGCCCCTGGGCAGCGGAAAGATGCCCTAAACCTTTCCCTTAGAACACAAGACGTGCGGCCTTATATGCTGATACGTGTGTAACATCCCATACAGACGGGAGCATCGAGCCTGGAAGCCTCATTTCCCCCAGCTTTGCACCCAGCACAAATCATGGCACAAACCAGTTCAGTGATTGCTTCCCCCTCTGCTTGCTTGGAGCTCCCACTTTCCTTGGATTTCTGCCTCTAAGTTCTTAGGCCCATCGCTTGTGCTCACCAAAGAGCGCCAGATCCAGCAGCAAATATTAAGCGTGCAATAAAGTGTACACGCTTCAGGTCACACTGTTAACTGTATTTATCACATGTTCTTAACCTGATTCCATGTCTGCAAACTTCCTCCACTGCCTTTCATCCAGGACTGAGAAGTCTGGGTTCTCGAGGTCTTTTGCTCTGCAAGTCATCCCTGGTTCTGGCAGCACAATGACTTGTCCATTAAGCACCAAATAGTGGAAACTTCAATAGGAAGGGTACTGCAGAAGCGCAGGCCCCCATTCCTGTGAAACCTGTCCTCCAGTTATCCTATCTAAGTGAAAACGAGGGAAAAGACTCAGGACACCTGGAGAGACATAAACCAATGTTTCAAGGGCTTACACTAGTACTTCTTAAAGGGCATGTTTAATAGGCTTGCCTGTTTCAAATGGTCTTGTTCAAGAACTAAGCTAGAAAGACTACTTAGAAGTTGAGGATTTGCCTAACGCATCATGCAAAATCAAGGGGAGGGGGTCCATTTTTAACAGCTAGCATACGGACGAGTAGATAAAGTCAAGAGAGGGAAAAGAGCAGAGAACTGAGCTCTGAAATCACACGATCTGAGTAATGGAAAACTGCAGAGAGTAGCTGCCTGAACCTTGAATCTCCTCTGGCCTCCACCTGCCGTTCTCCAAGACCAGCTGTGCTTTCTTCGAGGGAGGCACTCCTGAAGCTTTTAAATACCCCCTCCCCCCTGCTTGCGCTAATCAGAAAACTGACAGGCATCAGCCTGCCGCTGGAACAAAAACTCAATCATAAAACGGTCACTAATTTCTCAACGGAGTATATGTTTATTTTATATTTACTTCAGAATTGGGATTTTAAAAGGCTTTTATTTAGAAAAGTGTTGTTTTAGCGATTGTTGTAACATGACAGAAAGCAGAAAAGTCATGAAGTCGGCCAGTATAGTCATCCAGGAGCTGGTGAAGATTACAGTAATCCTTCTGTCCTTCTGTCTCTGACCTCCAGTCTCTTCCTGAATCTGCTGATTCAGGAGCTCTGGTGGCCTAGTGGTAAGGCTCCTCTGCAATTCTGAAGGCATGGGGTTCGAATCCACAAGCTGCTCCACTGGAGAGAGATAGGCAATCTTCTGTATGACTGACCAAAGGGCCAGCAATAGGTGGGTTCCGATTCAACAGCATACAACAACAGGAAGTCGGAATAATTGGAAGACAGTTTTGAGTTGGGGAAACCAGGACTACTTCTGATTAGCCGTGTATGATCCTCTAATTTTCATCAATATGAAATAGTCAGTACTACCCTTGACTTGCCTACTGGCAAATTAAATTACCATTGGATCAATAGCAACATCAGGATAGATGGAGAAAAGATGAAAACTGTCAACGTCCTCTTCTTTAGATCCACAATAAACACACTTTACCAGCAGTCAGGAAATCAGGAGACATATTGCAGTAGGAAAGTTTACAGTTAGGGACCTCTCCAAATTATTGAGGAGTAATGATTTCGTTTGAGGACTAAGGTGCATCTGATTCAGTCTATGGTTTCTGACCACTTGCTATGCATCTGAGAGCTGGACAATAAATAAGCGTGACTGAAGAAGAATTAATCCTTTTGAGCTGTGGTGTTGGAGAAGACTAAACATCCCATGGATGGCCAAGAGAACAAACAGATATGTCTTGGAGAGGGTGCAGCCAGAGAGTTCTTTGGAGGCAAAGATGATGAGGCTTCACCTCACATACTTAGGGCATGTTGCTAGGAGGGGCTATTCCTTGGAAAGGGACTTGATGCTCAGAAAGGTGGAGGGTCAGTGAAGGAGAGGAGGACCCTCAACTAGGTGGATTGACACGGTGACTTCTGCAATGGGCTCTAGTGTGTCAGGAAGTGTTAGGATGATACAGGATAGGACAGGGTTTGGATCTGTTCATGGGTTACTATGGGTCATACTCGACATGACAGAGCCTAAAACAACCACCACCCTTAAATTGCCCATGCATGCTTTTGTGTATATAACCATCTTCAGTAACTTGTACACACACTAGAGTTGGAGGCCTCTGAGAGGGATGAAAGGGAAGAACAAATAGGAGGTGTTGATGATAAATGTGGGCTAAAAAAACCCCAGCAAAATAAGCTACGAGTAAAGCTAAGCTGACTTTATTGTGCACTGTGGCAAAGGGGAGTACCACTGTGACAGAGTCTTAGTGGCATCTTAGAGTAGATAAGAGGAAAATGAAAATATTTAGAAGTTTCTGAATGCTACATTAGGAATGTGGTTCAGTGAGTTCAGGATGGTGATGAGATAGGCTAGGATTGGTGGACAGAGCCAAGTGAGATTTTCAGTTTAGAAAAGAAAATCTTTTTAAACACTTGCTGGTTTTCATTCGATCACTCATATACACATTGTCTTATAACTTCAAATACCATTGTACAATGCTATCATTTATGTCATCGAAACTTCACTGTACCCTCAAGTCCTTTTAATGCTTTATATGGGGGAGGGGGAGAGAGGGATCTTCTTTATAAAACTCAAAGAAGATCAAAGATGGAAAACTTAGAATTGTGGTGATGGAAAAGAGTATTGTATACACAAAGAACAAACAAATCTGTTTTGGGAGGAGTACAACCAGGGTCCTCCTTAGCGGCAAGGATGGCGAAACCTCATGTCATTTACTTTGGACACATTCTCAGGAGGGACCAATCCTTGGAGTCATCGTGATGGGAAAGGTGGAAGGTCAGCAAAAGAGAGGAAGAGCCTCGAGGAGATGGATTGACACAGTGATTGCAACGGTGGATTTGAGCAGGAGGATGGTGCAGAACAGGAGAATATTTGGATCTAATTTTCAAAGGGTTGCTTTGAATGCTAGTTGACTTGATGGCACTTCACAACAGTGAAAAGTTCAGGGAGTTCTGGAGGGGTGGTCCGTGGAGGGTTGCACTGCTAGTCCAAAGGTCACGCCTCTCTGGCTGTTCTAAACCACTCATAGCTCCGCAGTGATAGCCGTCTCTTTCTCCCGTGCACTGTACAACTTTGGAAACCCTTTGGAGAGCCAGCTGTCAGTCAGCTCCGACTTGACAGCAAAGACATCAACTTCTTGACATTGAAGCCCTGGTGACATAGTACGTAATGTATCTGGCTGCTAACCCTCAAGTCCTGGTCTGGACCTCCCAGGCACTCCTGCGGAGAAAGAGGAGCAGGCTCCTTCCGGTATGGAGGGTCACTATGCATCAGAATTGCTTTGGTAGCCATGTTTGTTGTTCTTAAATGGAAAAGGTAAGAGAGGCCTTGATGTCCAGTGATTAAGTGCTTCACTGTCAACTGAAAGAAGCCTCATTGGTTTGAGCTCAGCTGGAAAAAAGGTAAGGAAATCAACTCTGTTAAAATCTATAGCCTTGGAAAGTGTCTGTGGCAGCTTTATTCTATCCATACAGAGTCTTTTGAGTAAAAAATCAGCTGGGTAGCTAGAGTCTTCTTTTTCTTTAATTGTAACATTTAAGAATGTTATGTTTACTGGAATGAGATTTGGTAGAGAAATTCTTGAAAGGAAGAAAAACGCTATTGGTAACTTTTATCTAAGTGGACAAGAGGTTGATGAAGACAATGGAACAGTAAAGTCCTCTTTCAATCTTCATTGAGAGGCCAATGAGGATTGACTGGTAAATCATACATCAGTGCTCTGCAAACTATATAGTGAAAACCAGTGCTGAACTGCTCCTGGTCTGCAGTTAAGTATAGACGTTGAGTGTTTAGACACGTTAATAGCAATTTAATAATGCAATTTGATATCTCTGGAATGGAGGGATAAAAATCCAGAGCTCATGGTTCAAGTGCCTTTCATTTTATTTTTCTAAGAATTTTTTTAATTTATTTTACAAAAATATCAGTCTGATATTGTATTGGTAGGTGTCATCAATACCATTCTGACTCATAATGACCCCATGAGCAACAGATCTAAACCTTGCCCTATCCTGCCGTCCTCACCATCTCGGCTCTGCCTGAGCTTGTTACTATGGAGTCAGTCCCCCGGTCCACCCTCCTCCCCAGGAATTAAGCCAGGTGGGAGAAACTACAGAGGAGAAGACGGTGCCCAAGGTATCAAACCCTGTGGAGACATGACTTTAGCATACAGCATGGGAGCCTTAGAAAGGTTGATGCTGGTTTCGCTTGGCATAAAGCCAGTATAGGCAGTGGTCTTGTGGAACCACTAGGCTGAGACTGCAGGCTGAAGCCTTGTTGTATCTTCCTCCCCACAAAGGAAGTAATGGAGAGGAGGCAGCGTGTCACTGAGGTGAGGTCTTAAATAACTTCCTCTCTGTTAGTGCCTTGGGGCTAAAGTCTGGGCCAATGTTGTTATTGAGTTGTTGTGTGTGCCCTCCAGTTACCTGTGACTCATAGCAAGCTATGTACAATAGCTCTGAACCCCACCCGATCCTGACCCAGTTTCACACAGACCTGGAGGATTTCCCTAATGAGGATTATTACCCCAGTTACCGAGTCAATCCGTCTCATCCAGGGTCTTCCACTCCTGTGCTGTCCCTCCACCTTTCCAAGCATGATGTACTTCTCCAAGGACTAGTTTCTCCTGGCCACATGCCCAAAGTATGGCAGATGGAGCTTCAAAATCCTTGCCTCCAGAGAACAACTTGGTTTCACCTTCTCCAGAACCCTGTTTG